TCACCTTTGCTACGTCCCTCCAAACCTTCTCCCTCACCATTATCCATCTCTATGTGGGGGAATCAACAGCACAGGACACTGAAGATACAGCACATTACAGCTGCTACAGTGAAATAATGAGGATTCTTTTTTATTATTTTCCATCCTTTTAAAAACAATCTTAATGGTCTATTTCCCTTTGGTTTTTAACTCACACCTGCACATTGCATTGATTTTTTTTCTTTCTGAGTTGTCCATGGAAGATTTTGTCTAAGCTTTGGCTTCACCTTCAGTGACCTGTAGCAATTACTTTATTTGATTATAAATATATTTTCTTCTACTTATTTTCAAACTGACATGCATATTACATTTATATCACATGAAGATACTCAAGGAGAAAGGCTGATTGAAATGCCCCAGTAGATGACACTTTGTCATGCCAGCACTTCCTGTACATTTTGAAATTAGAGGTTTCATAACTGAATTTCCAAATTTCAGTTCTGATATCAAATGTACATACACATCCTCTATTTTTTTCCCATATCATCATTTCACTTGGCTAGAAATCTTCTATTTTATGCAGATCCCTAAGAACGGTAATAAAACAGCTGAAAAACACCTTCTGTCATAATCAGGCCAGCAGAAGCCCAGCTGTTTTACATAGACTCGTGCCCAAGTAGAAGGTTAGATAACCACCATTTCCCACCATTTACATGGTCATTTTTGGAGTATCTTGCTGCTCAAGGCATGCTACCTGCCACACAGACACAGGAGAAAGAGATGGCATTGCCTCAAAGTACCTGCAGGTAAAGGAGAGGACAAGAAACAGCAGGCAGATGGGCTACTATAATACTGGTATTATAGTATGGCAATACTTTTTCGTAGTAACAAAGGTCCAAGCTCACCAGTGACCTAAGTTTTGGGAGGGCTTTATTTTGCTGAAGTCACAGGTGAATTTTCAGACCAGAGCAGGATTAAAACTAGCACTGGGGATGCGTAAGACCATTCTTCCCAAACGTGGCAGGCAGCCTGCAATAGACACTGATTTCTGCCATGGTACTTGGACAAAGCAAGAGAAGCGTCTTTACCAAAGTGTAATTACAACCAGCATTTTGGTTGGACTGAGCTGTGCCTCATGGTTTGCCTTCAGGGAGAAAAGACAGAGGAAAAGAAGCATAAAAACCAATATTTATCCTTTTATCCCCAAAATGTACATCAAATTTATGTGGACGAGGCCAAGAAAGCCATTCCCCTAAATCCCTCAATCTAATCTGCCAACATCCCTGAGCCACCACAAGATGAATGCAAGGAGTAGAGAATGAACCACATCTGCAGCTTCTCAGCTCCTTCTTCAGAGCATGAGCCTACATGGCCCACATCCCTTGTGACCCCCTTGCCTTTCCTGCCCTGCAGCTCTTGTATTTTTGAATTCAGCTGGCAATATACTGTTTTACATACATATATATATGTTTATATTCTGTGTCACATAGCATGTCACAATGGCTTTAGTCCCTCCCAAAAAACAGCACTGCCCAAATAAATCCACCACCATCTATGCATTCTGCTTAAATGCTATTACACGGTGTTTCCTTTTCAAACTTCAATAGTCAGATTCATAAAATCAGTCTATCAGCTGATGCAGATTACCCACTGAATTAAATTAGCTAAAATACAAATATTTGCATGGCCTCAGCCTACCTTTTCACGAAGTTTTATTAAGATCAAGGATTGACAGACAGTTAAGCCAAATCCAGGAAAATTATTTTTTTATACAGATAATGATCCCTCTACAAAATCAGCAATTCAAGTGCATCTCCCCTAAGAGCTCCTAGACACAAAACTGTAAACACAAATGGAAGTTACCTAAGTTCATCCAAGACAGAGAGAAAAGCAATTAAATGCACATGAAATGTGTATTTGGCTGTATTTTTAACTGCATGACATTTGGCTGTATTTTTAACTGTATGACATTTACCAATCCAGGAGAGAGGCAAAGAAGCAGAAGCAGGGGCTGAGACACACAGCAGGCAGTGTGGGGAGGAAAATGAGAAGGATGAAAAAGTAGTAGTACCATGCCCACATCATTGAAAGAATGGAAACCATTGTGTTTTTGCATGCTCAGATCTCCTGTCCCTGTACACAACAAGTGTCAACTTCCTTCTTTCCACCATTCCTTCTCTTGGCCTGGGTTTACCACCTCTATCTACAGTTCCCTTCACCTTGTTCCCAAGATTTGTCATCTATGACCCCACAAATCCTTTGTCTCAGTTCTCTGCTCCTCAATTTCTCCATATATCCATCACCAGTACTTCTTTTTAGTAGTGGGACAGTCCTAGTCCCACAATTTCTTGCCACCATGCAAGTGAATTAAGCAGTTTCCTCCTTCACCCTTCCATGGCATCACCAGGCACATTCTGCCACCAAAGACACAGTTGAGAAAGTCTTCAATTCTCCCTCCTGCGCTCACTGTAGAAGCAACACCCTGGAAGAATAACTGGGGGCAAAGTGCACTCAGCCCATCAGCCACCAGCTGGAGTGCTCTCATCCTTCCCAGAAAGAGGAGCAGTTGCTCAGCTCCTAACAGTGCTGGGATGTTCAGCATACTTAGTGCTGCGAGCATCTTCAAGTGAGTGCAATGGTCAAGCCCACAACAAGTCCTCTCCCAAGAGCACATGCCCTGAGCATCGTGATAAAATTATATGGAGAGAAATTCTGGAAGATTCTCAGAAGATAAACAAAAGGCACACCCCCGTCACAAGATGATCCCAAGCAAAATATCTTTTCCCTGCTCCAAAACACAATGCCACAAGAATTTAAGTCTCAAAGAAAGTGTTTCTTAGCATAGTGAAAAAATTCAGACTCCCAGACAGATCAAGGTCTCCTAATGTAGGATGTATACCTCAACCATCTTAATCAAATATGTGGTCAAAGAACAAGTTTACGTCTTACCATGTTCTCAGAAATAATCAAACCACTTAATCTGAAAGTTCCCAAAGACAGTCTTGTCTTCAGCAGACACTCAACCTGGAAAATACCAGCCTAGTTTTAAGCTTAGCTAATGCATAATCACCTGACAGCAAAGCATTGTACTAGAAAGCACTAGCTAATTTTAACTGGAGACAGCATTGCTGCCTATGATGAAAAAAACAACTCCTTCAAGGGTTCTTGCATGCTACAGGGTAGAGATTTGGGCAAAAAAAATCATAATTCTGTGGATTCAACCATGCAAATGTACAGGAAGGCACCTTTATTTGTGAGGAAAACTAATTTAGGAAAGCTCACTGTCTTCATGCTTTGGGGCAGGGCACAGAAGTGCTTCCAGTTTGGGGAATCACCCTGATGTCACATACCTAGTTCTAGAAAATCTTCATTTTCACATCTTCAGTGAAATAATGTACAGTTTGGCTATCACATTCTCCAAATGCTCCTGGCCATCTCTGCAGAGCAACCCTGTGCTCATATTCATCTACTGAAATGTATGCAGGATTGGGCCCTCCACCAGCTGACAGCTCTCGAATCAGACGTGGATCAGTGGATGAGCTGGCTACCTCTGGACACTGTGAACTCTAATTATTTAGCACCACCAAACAAACTAAACCCACAGTTTAGGGCATTAGCATCTCACACTGGGGTATATGAGATAATTCTCCACTTCAAGAGGCAACCACTTGTTGAACTGAATGCTCAGGTTGGCTGTGCCCATCTGAGAGATCCCTACAGCCCTTCTGGAGGTTTAGCGCCATGAAAAATTCCAAGTTCCTCTGCTGGCTGTAACGCTTATAACCGCTAATTATTTCTGAGTCACTTGAGTGAAAGTAAGCTGCCATCCTGTAGACAGCCAGGGAGTCGGAGCAAAGTTTCTGGATGAGCGTGCTTGTTAATTGACAAATCAGGCTAGTGACCATAGAGGAAAACACCACGGCACAACTCCGTGTGAAGCCGGTGCTGCCGTTCAGCCGTGTATTCAAATTTAAGGTTCACCCGTTCCACACACGGATGCAAACACGCGGGAGGGGAGTTCTGCGCAGGGCTGCTGCAGCAGCACGGCTCTCCCAGCACTCGACACAACCCCTGCTCCCCCCCGGAGCCTTCACCCATTCAAAATCCCCACTGGTCCGACTGGAAGTTTTCCGTGAGCAAACACTGCCCGGTCGCATCGCAGACCCTGTTCCAGTCTAGCTTGTAGGAACCCCCAAAGTCAGGAAGGGTCCAACCACACCAAAACGAGATGGCGAGGAGGGCTGCTTAGGGGGCAACTTATTTTCCAAACGGAGGGGCCCGCCGGCCGGACCCCGCCAGCCCGGCCGGGACAGACCCGCCGCACACAGGCGGGCTCCCCACGGAAACTTTCCCGCGGCAGAGCCACGCCACCCGCACCACCGGGCAGTCCGTGACCCCCGCGGAGCTGACCCCGCCGCCGCCGCCGCGGGGGTCACGCGTGGCCGAGCATCCCGCGCGTGTGCCCGGGCGGGCGCCCCCCGGGCGGGTGTCGCGGGTGGGCGCCCACGGGACGGAGGCAGGGTCGGGGCCGCACGGCCGCGCGTTACCTGGGGTGCCGGTGCTGCGGGAGCGCGGCGGGGAAGTCCCAGCCGCCGCCGCCGCCGCTGCCGCTGCTGCTGCTGTCCGCGGTGGCCACCTGGGCGCGGGAACCGCCGCCGGTGCCGGTGCCGCCGAGCTGGATGCCGCCGCTTTTCCGGTGCCTCCCGGTGCCGTTGCGGCAGCGGCCGCCGCTGCTCCAGCCGCGCAGGAGGCCGGCCTCGGGAGCCGGCAAACTCTTCCTCGCCGACGAGGAGCCGGGGACGCTGCCCGCCTCCTGCCTGCCGCCGGTGCCGGTGCCCTGTCTCATGGTGCGCGGGGCCGCCGCATGCCGCTCTGCCGCCGCCCCGGGCGCCGCGGGACCCACGCGCGCCGGGGCCAGGGGCTCCGCCGGCACCGGGAGGCCGCCGGGAGCCCGGGCTGCTGCGGGGGAATGCGGAGGCCAGAGGCCGGGGGGGCTGCTGGCTGGGGCTCCCGCTGGGGCATTAAGTTGGACGCGCGGCCTGGAGAGGCAGGGCGGGCGCGGGGGCTGCGGGGCCGATAGTTCTCCGCGAAGTTGGAGCCCGGCGGGCGAGGCGGGGGCATCCTCTCCGCCGGCCCTTCATCGCCGCCCGCCGGCGGCGCCGGCGGCAGAGGATCTCCCGTGCCGGTTTCCTCCGCCGCTCGTCGCCTTCTCCGGCAGGGAGCGGGGGGAGCTACGGGGGGGTGAGGGCCGGGGGCTGCCCAAACGCGAGGGTGTTGCTCAAAATGGGTCAGGGAGGGGGAAAGGGACCCCGGCGCTCGGCGCCCCCCTACCCGCGGTGGGCGCCGGGAGGGCCGGGCTGGGGCGGTGGGTAGCGAGAGGGCTGCGGAGGAGCTCTCCCGCCCCGGCTCCTGTGCACAAGTGCAGGGAATGTTCCACTGACCTACATATTTTTCCAAACATACGTGACCTTTTTTTTCTCTCTCTCTCTCTCGTTCTGTGGGAGGAGACAGGCGAGGATCCAAGAAAAGGAGAAGCTGGAAAGAGAACGAAAGGGGAAGCAGGGAAAAAAAAGCCCTCAACCAAAGAGCCAGCCCCGCATCAAGGATGGTTTCACGCTGCCGCCGCGAGCGAACCCCGGCGTGCCCACGTTTACATATGTCTGTAGCGATATCCCCGCTCCGCACCGGCGGGCGCCGCGGCAGCCTGACCCCGGGAGCGCCGGGGACTGCGCCCGCTGCCCGGCCCCGGCTCCCGGGGCGATCCGGCGGGACCCCTGCGCCGCTCCGCCCGGCGAGTTCGAGATGCCCTCCCCGCTCGGCTCCCGCCTCGGGAGCGATCCCGCGCCCTGTCCGTGCCCGCTGTCCCGGCGGTGGTGGCGGCGGGAACCGGGCCGGAGCGCGGCACGGCACCGCGCTGCCCCGGAGCAGGCTCCCGGCCTCGCCGGGCACGGGCAGCAGCTCCCGATCTGGTTATGCAACGGCGCACAGGCAATTGGAGCAAAACCTTGACAGAGAGCGCTTTTTTTTTTTTTTCTTGTTTCAAAGTAGGTCATTCTTTTTATTCCCTATTTTGCCTTCTTCTTCTTTTTTTTTTATTTTATTTTTATTTTTTTATTTTTTTTTCTCTAATACTCGTCCTGCAAAGTGGCCAGTAAGGGAGAAGGCGGTGTGCTCGAGCCCGGTAGGAGCTGGCGATCGGAGCCTTGCTCATGTCTCGATGGGCTCTTCTGGAGGCGGTTCCGGAGTTGCCCTTCTTTCCCAAGGAAGGCAGAAGTGGCCGGGAAGCAGGGGCACGGCTCGGGCAGAGCCCGCCGCTCCCGGCCGCGCTCCCCGCGCCTCCCGCCGGCTCAGCCCCGGGAGCCGCGTCCCCCGGCCTCGCCGGCTATTGCCCGCTGCCCGCTGCCGCCCTCGCACCGCCTGTGTACCCGGGGCTTGTTGGCACTGCTGGCAGACACCTTTCACCGGCAGAAGGGGTTTTTCCCCGAGATACGGTATATGCTTTCAGAAGAGTTGTATTTTTTCTGTTCAGAGGAGGGTTTTGCTGGGGAGGGAAAGCCCCCGTATGGAGGTGCAGGCTGTGTCCCTCCAAAAGGCCTGACTGCACAGCCATGCCTCTTCCAATAGAGTTTGTGTGGTAGGCCAGGTGCTGTTTGCCCATGTCTCCCAATGTCTCCTTTTGTAAAGACACCTTAATCCTCGCAAAATATCCACCAGCAGAGAACACTGCCCACCCCGGGTATGCGCCTGTGGGTGCAGCATGTGGACTGATGGCTGCTCCAGCTACCTGGCCCGTGCAGGGAGCTGTGCTGCTTCTCCCACTACCCCCGCCACCCAGCTCACCCAGTTACCCCACTGCGATATTCACCTCCTGCCGTACACCTTATGCAGCCAGTTGTTTGATCCAATTCAATCCCCAATGCAAATGTGAATAACTACAAAGTATGGAAAAATGTTGCGGTCCTTTGCTGAGCACTTTTACACCATACTTTATACAACAGGCATGACTAATGTCGAAAGGGTAAAGTTGTTTACTTTTAACCAAGATTAAATACAAAACTTCAAAAAGCTCCTCCCTTCCTTTGGATGAAACCCAGCATTTTTTCCCATTTGGAAATTGTCAAACAGTGGTTAAACAATCCTTTGGCAAACAAGTAGTGCCTGAGGGAATAAAGCATCAGATACATGGGGAGTGGAATAAAAGACATTTCTGTTCCTGAGGTACTTTTCTTGTGTTGCACAATGAAGTACAACATAAAATCTTCAAGCCTTGTAAGGTTAGAGAAAAGGAACTTCCCATGATTATATAGACTACATGATTTGATATTCCAGTCCTTTTGAAAACCTACCAAAATCCTTTCCCCAAACCAGCCCGGTGCTTTCAGAAGCTGGAAATCAAGTACCTTAAGGAAAATACCACGTTGAGAAATACAATCAGAGACACACAGGGGCTCAGGTACAAAATTACATCTCTGTCGTGCTGTGTTTTAACATCTTCCCTGTGAATTTCTAAGGACACCATTGCACAAGTGAACAAGTGAGACTGGTTGAGGTTTGTTTCTTAATTCATTCCCTAGGTTACCAGAGTAAACTTTAATTAGGGCAACAAAGAGCAGAGCGGCTGAGGGTGAGGCAGGCTTTTCCCAGTTCATACCTGAATCCCGTTGTGAAATACCAGTCATTCAAAACACAAAGCCTTTCTCTCCATCCAGTGACACATGGAAAATAACCAATTACTGTCAATACCATGTTTGGGTTGGAAATTAACCAAAGGCTTACGCTAGATGCCACACGTAAGAACTTTAGGCAAGGAGCCCAGCGTTCAATTTTAAAGAATCTAATCTTTTAATAATAATGAAATATTAGCAAGCAACTTTTCAGACACCAGGAGCCTGTGATCCAAAGACACAATCCCTTTTGTTTCAACTAGAATAGGCTGGCCAACCTTCACGGCCCAGAAACAAGGCAACAGGGTTTTCAATAGGCTGTGAACCAGAGGCTAGGTGTCTCCCAGCGAGAAGGGCCAAGGGGAAGAGCCTGGGAGGACAGCAGCTCCCCAGGGACCCTGCTGCTCCATTGTGGCAAGACCATGGGAGGGATTTGGGTTGGGTGTGAGCTCAGCCCAGACACACTGTGTTTAACTGTGCTGGTTTGCTTTCTCTTGCTGCCAGGAGTAAAATTTAGGAGGTGCTGCTGCTGCTGCAAGGCGTAACCTCTGGCACAGGGGCTACCTTGGACATCCCTTGGCTCCAGTGCCACAGCCTGGCCACCACAATCTGGAAGCAGAGCTCTCCCAAGTACCTAAAAGGGGCCTGCAGGAGAGCAGTGGAGTCACTTTTTGTAGAGACAGGACAAGACATAAAGGCTTTAAAATGAAAGAGGACAGGTTTAGATTAAATATTAAAAAAAAATTTTTTACTGTGAGGATGGTGAGGCACTAAAACATGTTGCCCAGAGAAGCTGTGGATCTGTGGATGCCCCATCCTCACAGTGTTCAAGGCCAGGTAGGATGGAGCTTTCAGCAACTTTGTCTAATGGAAGATGCCCATGGCAGGATGATCTTTAAGGTAATTTCAAATCCAAAAGGTTCTGTGATGATTCTCTGATTGGCTGTGTTATATAAAGGCTTTTAATTTTCAGCAGACACCAGTAGATGTTATGTGGAAATAGGATGCCATTTGCAGCCTGTAATTTAAATGTGAAGCTTACATTCAGATTAGTGTTTGTGTAGAGGCAAATAGGGTTCTCCCAAATAATCATCCTCTAATCAACATAAATGGCAACAGTGGTGCAAAAGTCAGAGATGGCACTGTAGCGGAGAGGACCGTGATGGAAAAAAGATAAAGGACCCACAAAGACCTGACCAATGCCACTGAATATGAAACTGTTCTCTTAAGTTTTCAAGAAAGTAAGGAAAGGATTGGTTTGATTCATATTAATTAAGGGGCACAACAGATTTTGTGGACCATTTTTCTTACCTTCTACGTTGAAAGCAAGAGCAACAGGAACAAATAAATGGCAAATAAATCTAATGTCTCATGTTAGTCAGAGGAGTCAAACCAGCTGTGTCTGCTGGGAGCTCTGTGCTTCTTTCCAGACAGGCTGGCTGGGGGAGGCAAGCATGGGAGCACAAGGACAGATGTGAGGAGCTCCTTCTTTGGGTAATGTACTTCTGTAACCAATTTTGTTAGAAATTTCTGCAGGGAGGAGTAGTCTTCTGGGGATCAGCATTATTTTTCATTCTGCAGCTTGCAGCTTCCTGAGGGAGGGAGAGGTAGTGCATACTTATCAACCAGCAGCACAGTCTTGGAAGCAGGGGAAAGCAGAGAGATTCCACAGTGAAATGGACTTCAGATGCATCCTACTGGAGCTGCCCCAAGCACTGGAGTAGGATGTTTGATGGGCCATCAGGATCTGTCCCCCTAGAAAAGCAAACTCCTTGTTTTTCTGAGTGGTTATTACAAGAGAAGAGAGAATTTGCTGATTTGAACTTATTTCAGTCAGATCTGGTTTGAAAAAAAATCCATTGCCAGGGTTTTCATGGAAGAACTAAGCCAGGTGTACAAACTACCTGAGGGTTTGACTTTCTCAGCTTATTCAGAAAAGGAGTTGTAAGTTTCTTTTAAGTGGTTAATGCAAAGAATGGGGAGGAAGAAGGTGTGGGCTGAAAAATTAGTTGCAAACCATTGAATAGACTTGCTGTCTGAAAGGGCTGGGATTGCTGCTGGGTGCCCAGAAAGCCCTAAAGCTTGCTGGCAATCTTGTGCTGAGCATTTGCATCTTTTCTGGGAAGAACTTCCAGACAGCATAAGCTGTACGTGTGCACTCAATTGCCATGGAGCATACTGCATGTGTGTGTGTCAGGCTGGCGAGCCAGAGCTCAAGGCTGTGGAAATAATTCTTCTCCTGTGGGAAAGAGATGATCTGCTACCCTCTGGCTGACAGTGGTCTTTGTGCCAGTGCACCTCTTGGCCCATACAAGACCTTTGGTTCAGTCACAGCAGAATGGGAATACATCTCATGGGAATACATCCAATTTCAGTGTGACTGTGCTGGTTAATAGGAATAAGAAACTATGGCATGTCTGTGCCTGGGAAAAAGGCTCGGGTCTCAAATCAGGCTGATGGAGTTTGTTCAGATTTGAGAGCTGTTCAAGAAAAGGAAGCTCAAGCTCGAAGCCAGGAGTAAGGGATCTGCTATTTTTGCTCTGGAAGTCCCAGTGAAATGGAAGATAATAAGGGGTTGTGGTGCTACAACTGAATTAAGAACATCTGGGAGAAGTCTGAATGCAAACACAGCATCTTTGTCCTAACCTTGACTGAGAATAAAAGACTATTGCTAATAGTTATTATGTTTTACATCTTGCATTACTACTGCACTGTGTTAGTACTTTTTTGGCAGGCACATATTCCTGTGGACCTGTATAAAAGTTTTAGTTCTTGGCCAGTTTTACAGAGACCTTCTACCTCATGCAGAAGCTCTTGATGAGCAGAAGGAAGGTGTAGTGAACCATTGCCTCTCTCCTTACATGAAACAGCCTGATCGCCACCTCCAGTGATTTAAGCAGAAGCTGAATTAGGCCTGCATTTCATCATCACTGTCAGGATTCCACAGTTTTTCAAATAATTTTGATAACTGCTCTCCCTCTTCTTTTTTTCTGGGTACCGATTTTGCTCACATATTTGGAGTTACACTACTCACCACCACACACTCCCTCTTTCAAATTCATCTCAGCTTGCTTTTGATTCTGTGCGACACTCTGCTCTCGCACCCACCTTAATCTCATGATGCTATTGCTAGTCACAACACATGCTACTAGAAATATGGATAATTTATGTGCGGTATTTTAGTAAAGAACAAAAGAAATATAAAGAAATATTGAAACTCAGGGCATAGAATCTGTCCACACATATTCAGCTCTGTCATCTATGATTCTCAATGCAGTAAACAACTATCATATGAAGATAGTGTGGAAGGCTGAATTTTTGTGCTGTTATCAGATTTATCTCTTCATTGTGTCTTTCAATCTTTTTTAAACTACTGCCGTCCATGGGCAGTAGATGTCAATGAGGCCCTAGGTGTGTTCTTCCTTGGGCTCATCCTTGCTCAGATACTAAATTCCTAGTAACAATTAAAAAAAACCCCAACTCCTAAATTAAACCATGCATTTTAAAATTATTTACTTTAGTATTTCAAACTCTTAGTTTGAGCGTA